GGGGGGGGGAGTGGAGGGGGAGGTAGCTGTGAATTTCCTGCACAGCGCAGGGGGTTGCACTAGATTACCCGTGGGGCACCCATCCAGCTCTATGTTAGAGAGAAGAGAAAAGAGAAGAGAAGAGAAGAGAAGAGAAGAGAAGAGAAGAGAAGAGAAGAGAAGAGAAGAGAAGAGAAGAGAAGAGAAGAGAAGAGAAGAGTTTAAATTCAGGCATTTCTGTGCCTTCCAACCACTAGGAAGAGTTTGGAGGGGAATGCCATTGTCAAGTTCCTGATCTGCCCCCTGATAGACATCCTGCCCAATCACTTCCCGGATTCGGAGGACAGGAACTCATGACTTTTAGGGACAGTAAAGAACCCAGGTGTCCCAGAAACACAGTCTCTTGGGCGTCGGTCCAACCACCCCGTCCTCCTGTCCACTGACATCTTTGCAGCCCAACGCCTTAGATCTTGGCAACATGCGCCAGCCCCAACGTCCCTCGTATCAAAATCGGAACCAACCCCTCTGTCTCCCCTGCCCCTTTCCCCACTGAACGTCCAACCCGAAGATTCGTTCTGGAGAACCCGAAAGCTCGCCTGCTCTTGGCTGGTGTTTTGATCAGTCCTCATAAAGGATTAATACATGACTTCTGCTGTTCGGGATGCTTCTACGGGCCAATGCGGCCCTCTTTGCCCCCAAAATGCAGGGATCTGACCTCCCCGGGGGGGGGAGAAGAGGGGGCTAGCAAGCTAACGGGAAGCTCGTGGGCATGAGCAAAGAGCTCCTCACGGCTGCTGAAGTTTGACAGAAGAGAAAGATTTAGACACCCTTGCTCAGAAGGGTGTTTCCCCAAGTCCCCAACACAGATATGTGACCCAGAATTCCTTGCTTCCAAACACAGCAGGGTTTACTCCTAAGGAAAGCAGAGGATCAGATCGCGCCACGGAGACACACCCCCCGTCCCCCCTCTGCTATAACCACTGTGCCTCGCTCCCCTTCGCCCTCCCTAGCTCTCTTTCTCTCTTTCTCACCTGAACAGCGGCTGCTTGCTTGGCTGGCTCCCTTCCTCCCGTCTCTTCCCCGTCTCCCTCTCCCTGGCGCTTCACCCACACATCCAAAACCTGACCCAACTGGTCAGACCGTGGGATGACAGAGAGACGGGATAGGTGGGGCGGCCACACGCACTGAGGTGTGGGAGGACGTGAGCTGGGGTGCTCGGAGACACGGGGAGCTCACTTCCCGCCACTGCGGCATGCCGTTAAAAAAAGGCAGCACCTGTTGGATTTCAGCCTGCCAGGCAGAAAGGCCTGGCCGAATGGACTGTACGTCTCCAGATGGCAGGGGAAGGATATCATTTCTTGGAGAGCCAGTTTGGCGTCGTGGTTAAGTGCGCGGACTCTAATCTGGGAGAACCGAGTTTGATCCCCCACTCCTCCACTTGCAGCTGCTGGTGTGACCTTGGGTCAGTCACAAGCTCTCTCAGAGCTGTTCTCTTACGGACCGTTCTGGAAAGAGCTCCCTCAGGCCCACCTTCCTCACAGGGTGTCTGTTGTGGGGAGGGGAAGGGAAATTGTAAGCCACTCTGAGACTCCGAGTGAAGGGCGGGGTATAAATCCAATCTCTTCTCTTCTTCTTCTTCTTCTTGGTGTTCCCCTTCGAGTATAATTCCGTATTAACGGGCAACCGGTTTGAGGTCCAGCAGCACTCCAGGATGAGAAACACACAACCACAAATAATAATTTTAAAATTTATTTCCCTATTTATACCCCATTTCCCTCCCCAGTGGAGGCCCAAAGCAGCTTATAAACATTGTTCTCCTTTACTCCTCTTTTAGCCCCACAACAACCCTGCGAGGCAGTTCAGGCCGAGGGAGAGACTGGCCCGAGGACACCAAGTGAGCCTTATGGAGATTTGAATCCAAGTCTCTCAGGTCGTCATCCACCACATTAAGTGCTATGCCACACTGGGTCTGTGCCAGGTGAAAGAGTTGCCAACATCCAGGGCTATTTTTGGGCAGGAACGCACAGGAATGGAGTTCTGGCCGGCTCCCGAGTTGGCCACGCCCAGCAGGAACTCATTAGCATAATAGACCACACCTAACCACAACCGGTTTGAGGTCCGGCAGCACAGGATGAGAAACACCCAACCACAAGTAATATTTTTAAAATTTATTTCCCTATTTATACCCCATTTCCCTCCCCAGTGGAGGCCCAAAGCAGCTTATAAACATTGTTCTCCTTTACTCCTCTTTTAGCCCCACAACAACCCTGCGAGGCAGTTCAGGCCGAGGGAGAGGCTGGCTCGAGGACACCAAGTGAGCTTTATGGAGATTTGAAACCAAGTCTCCCAGGTCATCATCCACACTGGGTCTGTGCCAGGTGGAAGAGTTGCCAACGTCTTTCCCAGGCTGTGCTCCTGTGTCTTTGACCACCGCTTGATCTTGCAGACGTTAGCTAACCTTGGCAGAGCCAGTGTGAGGTTCAGTGGTTACAGCGTGGTTCTCGGAAGACCCAGGTCCAATACCTGGCTCACCGTGAAACCTTCCTGGATGCCTTGGGGCCAGTCGTTCTCACCTAGACCATCCTCCAAAAGGGCCAAGAGCAGACCAATCCCTGGCCAGTTGGCTTCTTTATCAAGAACATCTACCTTTCCCCTTGTTCTCTGTGGGTTGCTCAAAGTCATGTTTTTGAATGCACCGCGGGTGCCCTGATTTAGTGCGGGCTTTGCGCGAGTGACTGGCTCTTCAATGCAGGTATGCGCAGGCCGGCTTGTTTGTGATTTGCGTTTCACATCACACTGCCTGGCTTCAAACGAGCCAGTCCACAGCAACACACCGAGAGAACAACAACAGAAATACACCCTGTTGCCTATTCATGGGTGATCTTGTCGAGTCTCACTTTGGAGGTGCCAGATCTGCCTGAATATTTGTTTTGTCTACTTCATTTATACCTCGCCTTTTCCCCTGTGGGGGACCCAGAGTGGCTTACCCCACTCTTCCCCATTTATTCTCACGACAACCCTGTGAGGTAGGGTAGGCTGAGAGTGTGTGACTGGCCCAAGGTCACCCAGCGAGCTTCCATGGCAGAGGATGGATTTGAGCCTGGATCTTAAATGGGCGGGGCCGGGTGGGGCTTTTCCTGAGCAGGGGTTCTGATTGGCTGTTGAAGAATTGATTGGCTGTGTGGATTTTTTAAAACATTGTTTCGGTGGCGGTGGCCACCACAGCTCAAGGATTGTCACTGTGTGACTGAAGGGAAGCCGCGGCAGCCATTTTGTGGCTGGCTCCAACCCTCTGTGGCAGCCGTTTTGTGGCAGCCATTTTGTGGCTGAGCTCAATGTGCTACACCAAAGGTGCACGTGGGCTCAAAGTGTTTTGGGACCCCTGTCCTTGCTTCTTATCTGGAGAAGTGGCAGAATACACTGTACCCCTTCTGAATCCAGTTGAGGCAGGGCTTCAGCCAGGGAACAGTGGTTAGAGCATCTCTCCTGGAAGGCCCAGCTTCAGTCCCCAGCTTGCCGTGAAACTTGCTGACCAAAGGAGCGTTGAGTCACCAGCCCCCAGGTCGGAGCGGGGGATTTGCCGATTTCACGGGCTCCTGCCCGCCACTGGCCAGCTGACCAGCAGGGGAAGCCCCGCCCCTAATAGCCATATCCCAGCGTGAGTCTCCAATGTGATGATGTCACATGGAAGTGACATCATCACGCAGGGGACATCATGTGGCAACACTCTGGTATTTGGGGCAACACTCTATGGTAACCATAGAGTTTGGCCCAAAATACCAGAGTGTCGCCAAACAATGTGACATCATCACAATGGGATCCTGGTGTGCAGCAAAGTCGCCCCCCTCTCCCTCCAGGCAGCGCCCCACAAAAATCTGGGCACTTGCCTAGGCAGTATTGGAAATCCTAAGCATGTTTAGGGATGTCCATGGTCTGTGGTGGGCCTTGATTTGTAGGCACTGAGGCCTCCAGTGTGCTTAGGAAGCAGTGACTTCAGTGCCCCTTTATTATGCTGGAAGCCTCAGGGCATGTGGAACATGTTGGTGCCCTCTTCCCCTGCGCCCTGCTATAAAGATTAAGGCCCTGAGCTGCCAGATCCCTCTGGCAACTGGTGGGGGTGGGGGAACTTACCAGCAGCGGGGGAAGGCCTAGCCTATTGTTGCAGCAACATCACTCCTGGCAATGTGGGACAGTCTGGTATTCGGGCAAAAGCTCTGTGGTAGAAGCCATTTTTACCATAGAGCTTTTGCCCAAATACCAGAATGATGATGGAATGACATCACTTGCAGTGTGCACCGGAAGTGATGTCACCACATTGCTGTTGACATTCTGGATATCTGAGACAGGGCTGTGTACTGCCAGCGTGTTGAGCTTCGCCGCCCGAATTATTTAACCTGTGCATCGAAAGACAAAGATTGAACGCGAGCCTCTCTGCCCCCCTGGGAAATGGGGGCTGTGCGGGTTCTAGACAGAAGCCAGTCTCAAGGAGGGGAGACGGTCAGTGCGGAGAAACCTGGAGGCAAAGCCACCGTATCCAGAGGTTGCCAGCTTCAGGTTGCGAGAGGTGGCCAGCTTCAGGTTGGGGAATTCCTGGAGATCTGGGGGTGGAGCCAGAGGGTGGAAGGGGTTGGGGAGGGGAGGGACCCCGGCGAGGTAGAATGCCCGTAGGGTCCACCCTCCAGAGCAGCCATTCTCTCCAGGGGAACCGATCTCTGTCTCTGGAGATCCATCATAATTCCAAGAGATCTACGTTCCCCACCTGGAATCTGGCAGCCCTCTGGGACCTCTCAACTCAACAGTCCAAGAGTTGTACCAATAACAGCTGTGAAGAAG